GTCGGTGTTAATTGTCCTCTCCACCAACACTGCTCCGTGACTGTGGCCTTGACTGCAGCTGCCGCCTGGTGAAGTCACTGGGTGAGGTCACCAGTTTTGGAGTCGGTGAGGGAGGAGGAGAGGATGGAGATTGTGCTGATGAGGAAGTGACAGATGAAGAAAAGAGGAGTAAAGACTGAGGCATCTGGGTGATTTCAGCCAATGAATGAGCCAAATAGATGGAGAAGTTCATGGCGCCCCACTGTGGCATCCTGGTGTGGGCTGGGAGACAGAGATGAGGCATTGTTTGAAAGCTGAGAAAGGGAAAGACTCACGCTCATGCTGAGTGTATGTAGGAGGTGGACAGACAAAGGGAGGAAAGAGAGCTTCGTCTTCACACAATAGAGGACAAAAGAGTCTTTTAAGCAGCTGAGAAAGTAGAACAGAATGTGACATTTTGTCCTGCGGTTGTTGCAGTAATACATGCCAGCGTACTTCAGTTATATAGACTGTATAATTCAACAGAAGTAGCCATCCAGTAATCTAAAGGTTTGAGTTGTGAGAATCCAATAGGCCAGTGATGGTTTAAAGATATCACAAAATGAATCCTCTACCAAGCTTCTATTGGATGATCCAGTTGTCAATCAAAATCTTTTCTCCACCTGCCTATATATGTTATTTATTTATTGTTTGGATTGTGTCAAAACTGAAAATTTAAATATGCTGTAATGCTCCATTTAAGACTGTATCATTCAGTGATCCAACCACTGTGCACTAGTGCACCATCAGCAAATTAAATGTCCCTTAATAAGGCTGAATAGAATTATCTAATTACTGCAAATAACAATGCCTGTTTGACAATGCCTCACTGACAGGCAGAACAATTAAATACTCTTCCACTAGGTGGCAGCAGATGGCTATAAAAATTAAAGAAAGCTAGCGTCTTGTTGAAGAAGATCTTCATGTATCTTTCTTCAATTCCTGAGAGGACATTAGTGTTGTGTTCGTAGTAAATATATGATTGTACTATAGTTCATAACATAAACTGTTTTGGACTTTTTGTTTGCTGAGATAAAATGGACTGTTAGCCTCTACAGTTAGACCTAACAATTGGGACTTTACGCTTTCCTTAAAACTGTCTTCCCCAGCTGAGAAAACCAGCTGAGTGCTGCAGCTTTCCTTACACTTGAAGCTTTATAAAAGCTTTGTTAAGGCCACTCAATGGCAAGTGATTGACTCCAGTCATAAAATTTATGTAATATATGACTGTGAAATGCTTGACAAAAAAATGGCTCCCAAAATAGACTTCATGACCCGTTTTTATAGACAAAAAGAACTATAGAGTGATTCTTTACATCTACCCTTGAAACTGTGGTGGGTTTGGCTGCCTGTCTGTGGCTGGGAAACAAGCCCCTGTGCCTAAACAGGTCCAGAGTGACCCGTATGTGTACTTTTACTCCTGTACAGTTGATGGCTGAAGCCTGGGTTCAATCCTTGGTGACATGTAGGTCCACTGTGTGCTGTTTATGCCTTGGATCTCATAAAACTGTGGTGTTGGGGCCGTTCAGTCACTGTCTTTGGGGTTGAACGTTCAGTGTATTAAAAGAACCTGCAGAAGGTATTAAAGAATGGCTGGAATTGGATTTAGATGGGATTTTCTATCCTGTGACTCGTTTTATGGTTTTCTATGGTTGTTCACACTTTATAACTGCAATTTCTCCAGAGCCCTCCAGTCAGTGCCTTCACCTGTGGACTCTGGTTGTGTTCCAGGATGTAATTGTGCCACAATGTGTGTGAATGAGAGCCTGGCTGTTTACAGTTGGACTTCACATTAACCTCACTCCATCCTCCCTCCTCCCTCAGTCTACTAACTCTCTTCCTGCCCGTGGTCTGTTATTGCCTTTGTCTCTTTGTCTATAAAAGAAAACAATTTCTGGGCTTCAGCGCTGGTTCACAGCCCCCTGAACACCGGCTGTGACTGGAGGAAACAGCCCTTTACCATCTCTGTTTCACTCAGCTTTTGACTTTTGAAGACTGTTTGAACAGTGAAGGCTCTCACCCAGAGAGAGAGAGAGAGAGAGAGACAGAGACAGTGTGTGTGTGTGTGTGTGCTCCACTGCTTTGTCAGCAGTATATCCACAACGACCTTTAGAGTTTCTCTATATTTTCTCTCTCTCTCTCTCTCTCCCTCTCTCTCATCCTCTCTCTTTGTTCCGCCCTTGTCCTTTTTTTTCGGTTTCTTTCACCATGTGTTTGGTAAATTCTGGTGCATCACCACAGATTTGTTGGTTTGTTGTCGTGTTTCACAACACAACACAGCTGCTGGGGACTGGAGTCTGTAGTAGGTGCATCTGTTGTCAAACAGAGTGAGGAAGCTGTGGTTTGTTAGTAGCTGAGAGATCTAAAGATACCCTTTGTAACTTTGTAAGACTTCAGAGATCTAAAGATACCCTTTGTAACTTCTAAAGTTCACAAGGTCACCACTAAACCCTGATTTTTTCATTCAATTATTAAGAAGAAAGAAGGTAGTAACACCTAAACAGAAATGTTAACCTTTCCATGACCTCTTATAATAGAACACCTTTTTACAGTTACACAAATGTTCATAACAATTTGTTTCATGCATTTATGTCATCTTGATATTTTATCAATCTTCCCACGAACACACTGGCATGTAGACTAGTGGCCTATTAATGAACTCTTTTTAATCTTTACCTTTTGCTGTACAGCACGTACTGACCTGTGGTTGACCCACAACATCCTTTTACTGTGATAGGATGTATATCAGCTTAGCATTACTCAAAGAAAAGGTAAAAAAAATGAAAGTAACACAATCAAACATCACCACACACTCAAAATATAATTGAATATAGACAGTTTATATACTGTATATATATTTAATTTATTTTACAAAAACAACAAAATAATCTATTTTGTTTCCAATAGGACGAAACAATACAAAAGTGAAGAAAAAACAAAACTGCACAGGCTTCTTATATAAAGTAAACAACAATGATACCATAATTATCATTATTTTTTATTGAACTTCTCTTTAAATTTTGAACTCACTCTTTGGCAACATCTCAGTGTTTGGCAACAACTCACTGATAAGAACAAATCTGTAAGAACAATACTGACCTATGACCTGTAATAAACACAATAATCTGGGATAATGGGAGGCCAACTATTTCTAAAACATTTCGATCAGCTAAGATATCATAATTAAAAACCAATGCGTGTGTAAACATAGGCTCTAAACTGTTGACTGTCCTGTGAATCCAGCAGTTCGTGGGAACTCCATGATCTGAACTCCATCATCTCACACAAATCCTCTTTCATTGCTTCTTCTTTATGCCTTTGGCTCAACTCCATCCTTCTTTTGTCATATGTATCTGTCTCTCAGTTCCCATGCTGTGCACTAAGATAC